GCCATGTTCGTAATATTCTATACGGGCAGTTACAATGCAGACTACACATTAATGACGTGCAATCTATCAGTTGGTAGAGGGGAAATTCTTTGCCATTTTAAAGTTTCAACCCTTTCTTGCTTTACCTTAACGCAAATTTTGTTTAACTCTAGAGTATTTGGTGATCATATTTGTATTTAGAGCCCCGAAAAGAAAATATCGTTTTGTTAGCCTTATGAAAAAATGACTTTCAATTCTAGAACTGAATTGTCTCAAAAGAATAGGCGTTCGTTTCCTTCTTTCTATTTTATGCGTGTTAAAGTTATTGTAAGTGAGTGATATACAGCAAATAATTGGTTTATTGGTTTTTCTTCTAGATCTAAGTTGTTTTTCTTGCCTAGTTTTTCACATTTTCACATGGGTGCAAATGCATTGATTCATTGACGGACTCATGCTTCGGTGCGCCGTTGACGCTCGCTCAGCGCAAGGGTGACTGGTCGGGTACATGTTTTGCGTCAATCCTCAAACCTACTGAAAAACCTCATACCAAGTTTGCGGCTAGCTCATGCCATGCTCAGAGCTGTCACGAGTGTGGCTCGTTCTGGTTGTGACAAATTTGGGGGGATTACTGCCACCCCAGGTGTTCTAAACGCAAACATTGGCTAACATAGTTACCTCAGCTCTATTTCCCCCTACTTCAGCTGTATGAATGATACGATTTTAGCCATTTTGTGTCAGCGCAAGCTAATCACGTACCCATGACATAGCAGCGCTGTAACGTATGACAATTACCTCTTCAAAAACAATATTCATTCGTTTAAAAACAGCAAAGGTCTCAGTACAAGGTCTTCCAAGGTTTTCTAGTTTAGAGTAAATAAATAGTCACTGCAAAGTTAAAATCTTTGTGAGTGTTTACAAGTTTCTTACAGCATTTCTCCCAGTTGAAAGCATCCTGCGCGGTAGCATGGGGTAAAAATCATATATGAACTGCTCAGCAGTCAAAGGACTTTCGCATCTTTCTTACTGACTTTAAATATTGTTATAGCATTGCCTTTGTTAAAGCTGCAAGCCAATAATATACGACATAGTATGATCACATCTATTTAGATAACAAGAGAGGAACAGAATTCTTTCTCTTTTAGCTTCTTGGATGAAACAAAAACTCAGCACAAGCTTCAATGTATTCGCGTTGAACCAATCACTGTTTTTGAACCTGCTCTTGAGGTCCCCCTTTCGGCCCACGTCCCGGTCCGCCATGTCCTCCCGTTGGTGGACCATTTTGGCCATTTGGCCCACCCATCGGAGGCTGTCCTCTATTGCTGTTCTCCTTAAAAATCCAATCATGTTCATTTAATTCATTGAAACTTTCAGGTATCTCATCT